AGATAGTTCAGCCTTAAAAAATGACAGCCGTGGCAGTGGGTAAACAATATAAATTTATTCTGCGACAACTCCAAAACAAGTGATGCAAACGATTACAAAATATTGTTAATAGGAAATGCTTTAAAAGGATGCGCCTCCTAAAGCTGGTTGAGACAAATGCTGTTGTCAATAACCATTTAAAATGCAAAAACTCGTGTATTATCGATTATCGGCCGATAAAGGGGGTGTAAAGCCTATTCACTTGTCAATAAACTTCTGTCAACGGGAGATTAGAATGCTACACACACAAACTGTTGACTTTCCGGGTGCTGTTAAGGTAACTCATGGAAAAAAATGCACTAAAGGTGCGATCCCTTAACAACCGAAGCTGCAAAAATTAGGCTATAAATTCTAAAGAAGTATTTGTAAAATGAAGCTGGGGTTTTATTATTAAAACTATTCAGCTAATTTAATTGCTCCCTCCCAATTGTTAATTTATACCAAGTTTTTGTGATTTGTTAACCTGAACTGCTAAACAATAAATAATCGGTCATGAAATTGTCAATTTGTTGCAATTTACGTTACCCAGATAACATTTATTTCATGGTTTTTGAAAAGGTAACGTTAAAGCCTCTACGTAAAGCAATCCTTCCCGTCTTTGTTATAAATAAAACCCATAATTACAGACAATGTCTAAAGGCACTTATTTTCGATTGAAGAATAGCAACTATGGTATTCGGATATACAATCCTCAGCAGCTTTCCCCCTCCTTACCTTAAAGAATCCGCATTTACATAATGAACCAAAAAATATTCAGGATCTAAAGACATTGCCTTAGCAGTTTTTAGAATACTCACATTTTAGGATATTGACTTAGAACCAGCGCCTTACTGAGTGCCCGATTGGATGAATTGTGCCCCCCCACAGACGGCACCAATGTAGTCGACAAAACTGACAATCTCCTAGCAATCCCCAAGTTAAGTAGATCCTCCTAAACCAAATTTTTGGTTGGTAGAATCCCGTATACTTACTTAAGAATCCAAAGTGACCTCCATAGACTAAAAGCTTGAAACCTTTAACACTAATTCCCGCGGAGGCCCGTAATGAGGAACGTTGTGGAGGCCCTCTCGCCCAGGAAGGCCTCAGCTGTCAAAGTTGTGCAGCTGGCAGTTCTTGAGGCACAAAAAACCCAAGAAAAGTACAGAAAAGCCTGCGAATCACATAACCAATTAGTTTTACTTTTTTCTTGTCAAAATCAGAGCCTGCAGATGCGGTGCAACCGACCCCGGGGGCGCTTGCATATACATATATGCACATAGGTACATAAACTCAAGAAAAAGAAAAGACCAAGAACAACTGCGGTTTCGTTTTGTGTACATAAGGGACAGGAGGGAAAGGGGAAAAATTCTTCTCGATTTATATGATGGCAACGGCAGTGACACTGGTAACGGTGATGATTGCGGCAGCAGTATTGGTTGCGCTAGCTCTGCTCCCAACTCCAGAATAGCACAAAAACAAACATCTGCAAAGTTGGCGCTTTACACAAGATGAATTTCAATACTCAAATGCAAGGGAGCAGCTCAGGCTTATTGAGACTTTTACCCGCACCACTGAATAGGATAGAGGAAAGGATGGAGAGAATAGAATTACATAGTCAGAATTTTATCCTAGAGCACTCCAAACGCTGTCATTGCTTCCATTTCCTCGCCTTTCGGCTCAGAATTTCGACGACCGCCTCTGGAGGTGCATCGCTCCGGACTTGCTTCATGACCCTCTGCTTCCGGCGTCGTCGCTACTTTGCCATTTCGCATTATTTCCAGCAAATCCTGCTTCTCTGAGACCTCCCCTATGGTTGTCAAGGGTTCCATGCTCCTAGAACCTCCAACATTGCCAACGTTGGCCTCTGCGGCACCTACTACTTTTTGCGTGGCACGTCTGGACCACGCACGATAGCACATAATGACTGTGAGTGCTGCTAGAAGGAAGGTTATGCAAACCGCAACGATTATCAGGAGGTAGATCCTTGAACCCTCTTCCAGAGCATAGGACCCATCACTTCCTCCTGGAACTCTAGGAAGCCCCGGAACTCCCAGTTTTGACAACTGCCAAGGAGACAACTCATCGGGGAGAAGCCAGGGACACTCGGAGTTCAGAGAGTTTTCTATGTCCTTGTCGGTGTACTTCGAGTTCTTATAAAGGCTTGAGGTTAGGATTTTAGCTCGGAAGAGGTGACCTTCAGGACCGCAGAGAGCAGCAGCATCTGGACGACCTTCGACGACACCGGAACGGTCAAGTCCCTGAATAACGCTGCCGTTTCCGACCAAAGCAAATGGATTATCTGGCCATCCGTCCATGACAGCCCAGGAAGGAGCTTTGGCTCCTTCTGGCGCTAAGATGAGCTTCACCGGTCCGTTAAAACTGCAAAAGGCATCTGGTTCAATGCGCCGGATTGGATTTGAGGAAATATTGACGAGAAGTCTGGGGAATCCTGGAGTTGGATGGGATGAAGCAAGCATGGAAAAAGTTCGCCTAGTAAGATGAGTCAGACCATTCAAAGAAAGATCTAAGGAACGCAACTTAACATAGTGGTCTTCTGAGTTGTCTGGAATACAAACCATCCCATTTGCGGACAAATCAAGCTCTTCCAACTGTGGTAAGGAGGTAAAACAACCTTTAGGAAGAACTGTTAGACGGTTACCACGAAGAGATAGCTTTTTGAGATTCGTCAACCCTGTGAACGAGTCTGCCGTAAGATTGGTGATCTTCAGTTCTACCATTGAAAGCTCTTCCAACATAGCCATCTTTGTGAACAAAGCGTTTGGAAGCGTGTCAAATCCACCAAAAGTAGCTGAATCATCATGACTCATCCAAAGATGGGTTAAACTACTCGCAAAGGGGCTGAAAAGACGCGGTGACAGTCGCTGAAGCGGATTTCCACGGAGATCCAGTTTTTGCAGGTTCCTCAAACCCACAAAAGTTGCGTCTTCCAAATCGGTAAGAATGTTGCCTTCGAGGGAGAGTTCTTTGAGATGTCCACAGCATCCGGATGAAAAGACGCCCTCTTCGATATAACCAATCTTATTTCGAGCAAGGATCAGGCGCTGAAGGTTTTTCAAGTCCGCAAAGACGCCTTTCGTCAGTGAATGCACCCGATTATCCGTGGCGACAAGTTCAATTAACGTGTTGCCAATCTTTGTAAAGGACCCATCACGGTATGACTTGAGATACGAGTTGTTGGATAAGTCGAGTGATTTCAGGACCGGAAGACCTTGGAATAGATTAGATGAAAGGTTCTGGATCCCAGTTTGGTGTAGTTCTAGAACCTCCAGCTGTTTCAGACCATCACACCTACTCTCTCTCAAGGCAGTAAATCCTTGCTGAAGGTTGATGAGGTTAGGGACGTCTTGGAGGACCAATCTAGTGAATGTGCCACCTTCGGTACAAATGTCTTCAACTAGAAGTCCACTAAGATCACTGGCATCGTCCCCAGAACAAGAGCAGGTTTTGGAGGTACAGGAGCATCCAGCTTCGGCGGAATGACTTGCAATGGAGAGGATAAGGAGGAAGAAAGAGAAGCCCGAGAGACTCACCCACCGTTGCATAGTCACAGCTGGAGATTGTGAGACGAGGAATTTGTAACAGTTCCTAAAGCTACGTTTGCACTCGGCCTCGAGTTCATTGGTCGGGGGATTTGATTGGCCCAATGGCGACCAATGGAAGTGCTGGGAGTGTGAGTCATTCCACGTGCACCATACGCCTTTGGGAAATCGCGCGGGATGGACGGCACGGTGAAACAGAGGCCTACGTGTTGAGAACACGATTTACTGGCCCAGAACTCAATCGTTCCTTAAATTTGTACCTAGTCTAGATGCAGGGATACCAAGAGGACAATCGTTTGCCTAAAAAAATTGCAAAATTTAACAGAATAAATGGTGGTAATGAGGCAAATGTTAAACGAATATCCGCATAAGATTTTAAAAAAACGGAGGAATTTTGTAATCATTAAAAATGGACTTGCTTCTGAAATAAGCAAAAGTAAGAGCTAAATAAAAGGTATAAAATTATTTAAATAGGAAAAATTTCTCGAAGCAAAGAAAGTGGCTTGCTGCGGGGAAACTTTGGCTTACTTTCATTGATAAATGTTTTATGAGAACTAGCTGAACTTTAGTAGCACCCGTTTGCCTTTGCTAGCAAAGGTGGGGAAAAAGGGGGTGTTACGGCTTGAAAACGAAGATACCAAACACTACAGATGTTGTGAGCTAAAA